CTATTCTATTCTATTCTATTCTATTCTATTCTATTCTATTCTATTCTTGTTTCTATTCTATTCCATTCCATTCCACTCCATTCTCGCTGTCAGGAAACTCCTCCTTAGTTCTAGGTTGCTTCTTTCCTTGTTAGTTTCCATCCATTGCTTCTCGTCCTGCCCTCAGGTGCTTTGGAGAGTAGCTTGACTACCTCTTCTTTGTGGCACACCCTGAGATTTTGGAACACTGCTATTATGTCTCCCCGGTCCTTCTTTTCATTAAGATCATAGACATTGACCTCTACCACCCATGACAGTCAGTTTAGGCGTATAAGATTGAATCTAGGTCAGCCACTGGGACCAGAAGTGCACTGCTCCAAGCTTTCGGACATGTGCTGGAGCCCATCTTCAGGGAACTTCTCTCTACTGAATCTGTGCTTCGGGCTATTCTGTGAGTCGTATTTATGTGGTGCCTTCCTATTGGCTGAGTGGTGTGTTGATGGCTGGCGATTGGCAGTTGTTTCCTTGCCCTGCCAAGCCCTCGGCTCCTGATAGGCTGGTGGTAAATCAGCATTCTGACAACGGCCTCATTTCCCAGGTTTTAATAGTTTCCTTGGCTGTTTTTGTGCTTGCCCATCCAACAAACTTAGTAGCAGCAAAATTGAATGTATGTCCTCGTTCATTGCAGTGTGAGTCTACCGATGAGTTCGTGTCTCCTCGTCTGACGGCTCACTTGCAATCTAGTGGTTAGCTTCTTCCCTGTCTATCCTACATAATAATCACAGAGGGAATCCATGCAGGGGATCCAGTAGATTACATTAGAAGTATCTCCCGCTTCCAAGCGATCTTTGCAACGCATGATTTGCTCTTGTATGGTAGTCACTGGGCAGTATGCAATGCCCAAAATTTAGGCTCCTCTCTAATGTTTTTCAGTCCAGACTAGATCACTAGTCTTTGCTATATCTGTGCTACATTCCCTGCAAGCACTAACTAGACTATCATTCAGTTCTGGCATGTTTTGGGCAATCTTCCATATGTGAAACCAAAGCCCAGCATGCTCAAGATAGATTAGCTTTCACACAAACATACCGTTGACACCATCCAATGCAACTTAAGGTACATGCAGTCTAATGATATATTCAGGTTGTTTCAAAGGTATTTTTCAAAAGACAACTGGACTTTCTTGGGTTTTTTTTTTCCCCTTGAAAAGTTTTGCTTCTCATCCCAGACGCTTCTTTGGTTCTGATTAAATGGAAGGGAATAGGAGGATTTATATTCTTCGTAGTTGTTGTCAGCACTGTGAAAGAATTTAAATACTTCTATTCCCCACCATTCAGTCAGAATGTTGGGGCCTGCCAGCAGAGCTGGTGGCAGACTCGGACAGTGAGGAAGAACATGGGCCAGTCCTGGAGTCTGGGGAAGGCTCTGGTGAGCGCTCTGCATCAGAGGCAGAGATGGGGCCAGGGCCATCCGACAGTTATCAGCTGCCTTTGGAGTCAGACATCAGTGAGGCAGAAGAACAGCTGGAGCCTGTTCCCGATATGCGCATGCACAGAGCTACCAGGAGAAGGGAACAGTTAAGGAACAAGGGTCAACTTGGGAGTAAAGGCACAGATGGACGGCGAATAGCCTCAGAGCCTCAGCTCCCTACCACTCCCAAGCAGATACTAATATGAGGCCAGGTTTTAGAAATGCAGATTTGGTAATCCATTACTCCCTGCAGCAAGGTCCGAGCAAAGGTAGGGTTAGCCCTCAGCCATAATAGGAATTGCCCAACAAGCCCCTTCATTGCATCGGCCAAACTTCAACCAAGCTTAGCTCAGACAGACCCCTAGGATTTGTACATGGCCCCATGGGAGTCTGACAACAACCAATAGAACACATGTTCTTGCACAGGAACAGGAAGCTCAAGTGCAAAGCCCAAGAGAAGGTATAAATACCGCTCACTCTCAACTCCATGTGTTCAGCTGCACCAGAGAACCATGGACTTGGTGATCCTGCCTCATCATTAAACCATCTTTCCAATCAGCCTCCATGTTTCCAGTGTCTTTGTCCTGGCTTGGAACTGAACCAGATGGATATTTCTTCCAACAAAGTCCAGTTGCCTTTAGAAAAAGGACTTTTGGGACCACCATGACCTGGATGATGGAGAATCTCCATAGACAGATATATTCAAGCAGCTCTGATCCATACCTTTAAGGTCGTAGAAGAGATCAGAAAGAAAATAAGCGAGACATCTCACCTCATTGTCTGTGCCAACATCCAGAAGAACCGGGAGGCACTGCTGTGGGTGGACGCCACCACAAGCAGTGTAGAGTGCAAGTTTTCCTACTGGGATGCCCATCCCGTAGCTTCCTAGATCACCCAAGCCTAAAATTCTTTCTCCGTCCGTCACCACAACAGCCTGAAAATGAAGAGAGGAATCTGTTGAAAAAAGAAGCATTCAATGCAGAGGTGGTATTCAGCAGGTTCTGACCAGTTCTGGAGAACAGGTAATGGAAATTTGGGGTAGTTCGGAGAACCGGCAAATCCCACCTCTGACTGGAGATTTTACAGTATCCTTCCACTGCCATACCCACCAAGCCACGCCCACAGAACCGCTAGTAAAATTTTTTGAATCCCACCACTGGTTCTGACCAGTTCTGGAGAAACGGTAGGAGAAATTTTGAGTAGTTCAGAGAACCAGCCAACACCACCTCTGATTGGCCCCGCCCCCATCTATTCTCCGCCTCCCAAGTCCCAGCTGATTGGCTGGGTCTTCTTTTGTTTCCTTACATAGGAGAACAGAGCTGGAAAGCAGGTTAGTGGGATGGGGAGGGAATAGGGATTTTGCAGTATCCTTCGTCTGCCACGCTCCCAAGCCATATCCATCAGGTCACAAGGATTCAGAAAGTGACAGAGTAACCAAACAACAAATTTAATACCGAATTCAACATGGGACCGTTGTGTTGGTAGTAAGTCATGTAATTTGTAGTTTTTCTTCTCACCAAGTAATATTGCTATAAAGGGAATAAATACATCCCCATATTGTTATTGTAGTTCAGTCTGACTCTTGGTGACCGAATGGACCATAGCATGCCAGGCGCCACCATCCTCCATGGTCTCCTAGACTTTGCCCAAACTCATATTAGTTGCTTGGATGACACTATCTAACATTCTCATCCTCTGTTTTTTGCCTTCAATCTTTCCCAACACTGTAGTCTTTTCTAGTGAGTGTATCTCCACATATTCCTCCACTGTGTTGCAAGTCTATCAAGAGAAGAAGCCCATAAATATATTTATGAATTATTATTCATTTGATTTAGACCTGCCACAATCAAAAGAAGATTTCAGCAGCTTGGAAAGAGTACAGAGAAGAGCAACAAAGATGATTAGGGGCAGTGGTGGGATTCAATTTTTTTTTACTACCGATTCTGTGGGCGTGGCTTGGTGGGCACGGCAGGGGAAGGATACTGTAAAATCTCCAGTCAGAGGTCTCCGAACTACTCAAAATTTCCGCTACCGTTTTTCCAGAACTGGTCAGAACCTGCTGAATACCACCTCTGATTAAGGGACTGGAGGCTAAAACATATAAAGAACGGTTGCAAGAATTGGGTATGTCTAGTTCGGTGAAAAGAAAGACTAGGGGTGACATGATAGCAGTCTTCCGATATCTCAGGGGCTGCCCCAAAGAAGAGGGAGTTAAGTTATTCTCTAAAGCACCCGAGGGCAGGACAAGAAGCAATGGGTGGAAACTAATCAAGGAGAGAAGCAACCTAGAAATAAAGAGAAATTTCTTGACAGTTAGAACAATTAACCAATGGAATGACTTGCCTCAGAAGTTGTGTGTGCTCCAATACTGGAGGTTTTAAAGAAAAGATTGGACAACCATTTGTCTGGAATGGCATATGGTTTCCTATTTGAGCAGGGGGTTGGACTAGAAGACCTCCAAGGTCCCTTCCAACTCTAATATTGCATTGTATTGTATTGTATTGTATTGTATTGTATTGTATTGTATTGTATTGTATTGTATTGTATCCTATCCTATCCTATCCTATCCTATCCTATCCTATCCTATCCTA